TCTCAAGTTGCTCCCACTCCCACTGCTTTTCTGCCCTTGGACATTTTGTTTCTCTGTTTAGGTAAGGAAATATCTCTGAAACAATGACCCAATGGGTCACATATATTTATCACTCTTGGCTTTGTAAATAATTATGATTTCTATCCCAATGTTATGCTGGTTCAGTAGTAAGTCTTACTGAAATCAGTACAGCTTAATCTTAAACAAGTTTGCAAGTTATTCTAGTCTTGTGACACAGAAGCTGCTCTACTGAATTCAGTGGGACTTATTTCTAAATATGCACATTGCTCTGTTAGCATAATTTTGGATATCCATATACTACTCTAAGCTCCCCTTTTTATAGCTATAATATTCTCCATTGTATGCAAACATTCATCCTAACAATGTTTCCTGTAATTTAAGAGAATATGTTTTTAATAAGTTGGCACTTTAAAAACAATGATTAAAAATGAACATTCTGATGATTTTTTTGGGGGGGGTGTTCTCTGCCCATTTCAGTTATATTCATTCCCTCCTTCCTCAAAAGAGACTGTTGTGAATGAATTTATTTCAGAGTTCATGTGTCAACATTCAGAAGTGGTTGAGGACTTCTGGATTATGAAGTGCAGAGTGCAAAGTGCAGTTTTAAACATATTTACTCACGTCTATGTAGGAGGAGAACTGAGCAGAGCCATGTGGATGTACTTGCTACTTTTCCACTCTATTCTTTCTAATAGATGAAGTCATGAAATATCTATAACTTCAGGCATTTCAAGTATCTGATTAATCAGCATAAAGTATTCTGGGTGCAATTACATTGCAAAGTTAATCCATTTCATGGATCAAGGAGCAAGCTATTACATTTCTTCCATGCCCATTAATGGTTTGAGAAATATCTTGAAGTTGATTGGGCCTCCTACTAGAAAATATTGAAGAGAGAAGACATAACTGGGGAAGAGATAATGGTAGTGTAATACAGGTGTTCAGATGAATAAATCCATTGTTGCACACTAACAAGGCAGATTTTAGTATACTTTAAAATTAGTCTGTATTTGGTATATCTATTTTACTTCTTACTCTTCTGCAAAACAATTGCCATGCATTTCTTCTACACCAAAATATATATTACAACTTCAGGGTCTTTTAAATGTTTTTTGTTTTTTGTTACTCAATGTGCATTTGTCAATGGGCAAGGTGGATTTCTGCTGATAATCTATGTATGATTATTTTAGAGACAGTAAACATTTTGATGACTCAGTATTTGAAGATACTATGAAGTTGTGTTATGTACCAAGGCTTACCTGAATTCTCCTGTTTTGGGGGACACATCTGTTTTGAAAAATACCTAACAATTAGGTCTGGGTTTACCAATCAGATGAGGTATTCACCGTGACGGCCATTTCACAAATGCCTCTCCAAGACAGCCAAAACTCCAAACTGTTCCCCAGCCCAAAAGATAAGAACCCCCATTTAAAGCATAATGATGTCCAAACTGCGGTCAGTGAATAAACCATAAGTTGCTTTAAGACAATAAAGCACAGACTGATTCCATGGTTTGTTGTTAGCTTAGAATGATGTGTGAACAGGAGTAAATGATTTGTTTGTAGTTTGCTGACTTCTTTCTAATTAGTGTTGCTTTTTGTGTGACTCATTTTAACAGGGGCATCCAGGGGGAATCAAGATGGCATCTGGGACTAGGTAATCAAAGTCTTGCCTCCTTTTATGTGGCACATGTAAAAAGAGGGTGGGGCTTCAATTACATGGTCATCAGCTTGACGTTTTAAATTACCCCCTGAACACCTGTGTGCACTAATCAATTTACAAAGGCATATTTACAAATAAACTAGGAATGAGCCAACAAGCCATAAAGACATGTTTATTTTCTTCTGTGTAAAAACCAGTGGTATGTTTTAACCTCAGTTTGTTAAAGAGCCATTGTGGTTCGTTTCATACAGTCCATTAAGCCATAACCCCTAATTTACAAAGTAGAAAAGCTGTGCAAAGCACTCCTTCAGAGTGATTCAATTTCACAGAGTGGTTTTGATTGAACCACCCTATTAAGCAGTTCTGTGAAGCAATGTGTCATCCTCATGGAGCAAAATGGCCGTGCTATTTTGCTTTTTCATGGCCTCACAGGTTCAACCCAGCACTTCTAGTACCCAGAAGAGGCTTTTGCACTTTAACCTGGGTATGGGGCAGAAGCCTCTTGTAACACTTTCAGTCAGGGGTTTTATGCAGATGTTGTGATGGAATGGAATTATGAAGGCCAGACTCAGGGAGAAAAACGTTTTCTTTCATCTCCTGAGGCAAGAGGGAGAGA